CCCAGATTTATTAAGTATGTCATTGGAGGTAGAATGGACAGGATGAGATATGATGGGGTAGGTAACAGGGTTTATAAGGTAAAGAAATTTTACCTTAAAAGTAAAATGTCATGTGCAAGACTGAAAAGTATATTCTATTTATCATATATATTCTGCCTACACCGTATTTATTTCTACTTACTGTATAAAGCACACATGTATTAAGAGAGTTAAATAAAAACAGAAATATCCACATATCATGTATGAAAGAAGGGGAAAATTATACTAACAGTCTGGAAAGAATAGATATAGCAATTAAATATTTAATTTAACTTAATCTTCTAACAAGCAAGACAAAAATAATGACTTGTGTAAGACTTATGAGTTGTTATTATTGATGAAGAGAAGTACACTATTATACCGAAAGAGGCAAATGTCTCCTATTGCTAAATTCTAAAATGATTTTTATTCTACTATATATAGGCGAGCTTGATACAATAGCATGATGAAGAGTATCTTGTACAGTAGTGTTATAGAGGATGCAGTGATGTTCTTCGTATGAGATATTTTTGACATAAAACAGCATCCTTATAATAAAAAGGGATTGAAGACCTTGACCTCTTTTACACATTAGTCATTGGAATAAGATATTTTGAAATGCCTTTTCAAAAACAAAGCAAGCAAACAACTGTCCAGTTCTGAACTTTTGTAATTCTATGGCTTATGAGAATTTTATACTGTATTCAGTAACTCTAACTTATGAGTTACACTCACTTCTCAGGAATCTTTCAATTGGTAAAAACAACTAAAACATCCAACTGAGAGTGTTTTAAACAAATGAGAAAATCTCTGGCTCATAAAACTGAAGAGTCCATCGATGCATAAGTTTTAAGCTTTGGTTTGTCTATGCAAGTTTGATCTACAAAGTACACAGCATCACCAAACTGTTTTGCTTTGTCTCTTCCACTTTACTGTATTATTTTTTTCTTCAGTTATTGCTTCTTAAAGCAGCAAACATTTTTATCACAGTTCCAGAGTTCTTCACACTTCAAAATCAAAAGGAAAAATCCTAAATGTTCCTGAAAATCTTAAAGATTAAGCAGTTAACATTGGTTGAGCAACTACTATGAGCTGGACACTATTCTAGGAGCTGAAAATATAGTAGTGGATGGGTATGACAAAAATCTGCATCTTTCAGTAGTTTACCATTCAGTAAAGAGTGGTAAATAATAACACAAACATGTATATTAAGAAGTGATAAAACATTAAAGAAAGGAATAAAAACATACAGCATGGTAGTTCCAGAGCAGGACATAGGTGACATATTGTAAAGTTTAGTCAAGAAAGGCTCCTTTGAGAAGGTGATATTTGAGCAGACCCTTGATTGAGTGAGGGAAGAAGCTATGTGAGGAGATGGGCATGAGTGTTTGTGCAGAGTAAACAGCAAAGATAAGTGATTTGAGGAGGGGGCAAGCATGGCCGCTTGTGAAATGCAATGAAAGCAATATGGCAGGAGGGGAGTAAGTTGTGTGGATGGGAATTGGTAAAAGAAGAGATTATGGAGACAGGTAGGGTTTTGTAGTACATACGGCTCTGTAGACCATAGTGACAAGTTTGGATTTTATTCCAAAATCACTGGAAAGCTGTGAACAGAAAAGTATGTCATTTGTCTCTATTTGTCTAACCATGGTGGATTCATAAATGAGGAGATTAATCTTACATGAAAAAAATGTGCAAGTGTTGGCAAATCAGAGTTGAGGCAGATGTTCCATATTTTCATCTGCATCTCGGTTAACTTTTTTTATTTTTAATTCTTTAGTATTTATTTATTTATTTTTTTGAAGTGCTGGGAATCAAACCTGGGACCTTGCACATGTTAGGCAAGTGATCTGTGAATGAGCTACATCTCCAGACCTCTTGGTGCCTTTTATCCTTCTATTTTACTATCTTTAATGTGTGCTTTTCCTCTTTATGTGTACAATGGCTTCTGCATTCTGGATCTCATTATTTCAACTCAAGCAGGAAGAACAGGGAAGTATAAGAGTCAAAAGCCACATGCTAGCTTAATCTATTTCTTTATCAGAAAAATAATAGGTTTTACAGAAGGCCCATTCAGTAGATTTATGTGAATTTTCACATGAAGAGAAAAATGCATCCCAATCTTTACCACCCAAAATACACAAATATTAATTCAAGACTGATCATAGAATTACTGTACATTTAAATAAGCTACTGAACTTCTAGAAGAAATATAGGAAACCATCTTTGCAACATTAGGATAGCCAAATATTTCTTAAGATACTTAAAATACTAAATAACAAAAATAAAACAATAATTCTGTTGCATCCAAATGAAAGTCTTCTGCTTACTGAAAAATAGTTACATGGACTTTTCCAGTGCATTTATCTGACAAAGAAGTTTTATTCCAAAATACATAAAGAACTTCTACAACTCAAATGAAAGATGTATAACCCAATTAAAAACAAATAAAAAGATACTTAGCATCATTAATTATCAAGGAAATGCACATTAAAATCAGAACGAGATACCATACATCCACTAAAATGATTAAAACTAAAAAGACTGACAGTATTAAATGTTGGTGAGCAAGCAGGACAGTATTTCTTGTACATTGCTTATTGGAATATAAAATGTCATAACCACTTTAGAAAACAATTTGGGAGTTTCTTAAAACATTAAACATATATCTGTATTATGGCACCACATTTTTACTTCTAAATATATACTAAAGAGAAATGAAAACATACATCTGCAAAGATATTTACATAAAAATGTTCATACGGCTTTATTCATACTCAGCAATATCTGAAAACAATCAGAATGTTCATCAACAGGAGAATGGACAGATACCTTCTGGTGTATTTATACAATGGCTCACTGTTTAGCAATGAATGGCAATAAACTACTGAGATACAATTGGCACGGGTGAATGTCAAAATATTATTTTGAGTAAATTAAGCTAGATAGAAAAATTTATATGAAATCTGAAAACAGACACAATCTAAAGGGATGGAAATTAGAACAACTATAATTGGGAGAGGGGACTTAATTGTCAAAGGGCACAAAGGAACATATTGGAAAAAGAAGTGTTCTATATATTATTTTGGGCAGTGGTTCTACCAATGTATGGATTGGACAAAACTCTTACTTTTATGTATGCATTTCATGCTTTATAAGTTATACTTAAAGTAAAAAAAAAAATAAAATAAAGCCAAGTTACTGAACCATTATGCTGGCTGAGATAAGGAGAAGTAAATGGAAAGCAGGGAGATAGTTAAGCAGTTGCCACTATTGTCTTAGATGAGACTAGGAAGTGATCAGATCTCAGTTATATATTGAAAGTGGAGCAAATAAAATTAAATAATTGCTTGACTGTGGATAGTGAGAGGAAGGAAGAAGAAAAGGTTGACTAGGAATTTTAGTTCTGCATAACTAGGTGAATAGGAATGCCATTTCCTTAAATAAGGAAGAAGTAGTGAAGTTTTGGTTAGGAGGTTATGGCAGAGAAATCAACACTTGAATTTTGAATTTGTGATGCTTGTCAGACCTGTGAATAAAATGTCAGGTAGGTAGGTGGATGCAGAAAAGTGGAATGGGGAAAGATCAAGTACAAATATGAATTTAGAGCAATGAGGCTGAATGCGATTCCCCAGAGAAGTGCGGATAGCTAGAGAAGAGGACAGAGGCACAGGACAAATGGTGGAATGTTTGCAGAGAAAATGAGGTTCTTTTATTAGTGGGGAGGATCAAGAAGTAACCATGAAGATCAAAGAGGGCCCCATCCTCCTCTAGACTATGTAGTATGTAGCATGCGGAAAACACCTGCCTCCCTCTTAAGAGGACTGCAGGAAAGAAGCTGAGGTCAGTGATTTGGCCATATTTGTCAATGGCAAAATTCTCTGTTCCCTACAATGGATACAACTCTACAACCCTTCTCAACATTTCCTTCATCTTCTTGATCTAACAAAAACTTAGCCTTGTACAGAACAGCAAGGCACAGTTCAGCTTGCACAAGATTAATTAAGAGAGTATTTAAAGAAGTTTAAGAGAGACAATTTTGCTAATGGTAGACTGTTAGTTGTGAAGAGCTGTATGGAAAAGTTGGAGGGACTGAGGAGAGGTGGGTGATTGGGTTAAGTTCTGGAATGTGTGGTTCAGTATAAGATGAAAGAGATCATGTCAAAGAGGATGAGAGTATATGAGAGGAGGTGTGTGTAGGGTGCCCACAAATACTATACTGTCTTACAGAAGGGACTTGAGCATCTGTAGATTTTGGTATCCACTGGGATCCTGGAACCATTCCCTCCAAAATAGCATGACTATAGTTCCAACTGTAGCTTCCTCTTGGGATTGGTTACTTTAGCAGTTTTTAGGACTGAGGAAAGAAGTGCGGCTTCAGGAGATGGTGGTCTTCCCAGGAACAGAGTTGTATGAGCCTTCAAATCTTCTGTGGTTGATAAGCTTAAGGACAAGCAGTCTCACTGGGAAGCTGAGCCAACTTCTATCACATTCCTAAAGGCAGAAAAGTGAGATTACAGAATCTAAGGCTAGATGCCTGAAAGAAACACAAAGTGTGTGTGTGTGTGTGTGTGTGTGTGTGTGTGTACATGGACCATAGGGAGGTAACCGAGAGGATGGTTGTAGAATGACCAAGCCTAGAGCACATTTATTAGAGTCTCTTTTTCAGCAATCAGCAGACAAATTTACTGTTGACAGTAAATTGGGAAAGAGGACATGTAGATTCATATAAACATATCTGCATTCTAGAAAAATAACAGGAAGCATTATCTTTAGTAATGAAAAAACACAATTTAAGTGACAGTATTATATTTCGATTAAATCATGGATTAAACTGTATTGTGTGTTTAAATACATAACAGTTGCAAACTCCAGACCTCTTGGTGGTGTGTATTCTTGATTTTGCTAAACAATTACCCTCAAATAATATTGTCAGAAGTACATGATTTCAATTTGTAAGATACTTCTTTTCTTTTTCACAGGAAGAACTGAAAAGATTGCAGAATCCTTTAGAACACGTTAATGATGGGAAATATTTTCTTGAAAAGTAAGTAAAAAATACTAAAGGAAGTGAAATAACTTTCTAGGTTGAAAAGCTCACATAAAAAAGGACTTGGCAAGGCAAAATGAAGTACATGGTATCTTTGTGATCAGGGCCAAGAAATGTGGCTCATTTAAAATATAGCTATACAGGCTTGACGCTAGTTAAATAATGATACACAAGCTCTACTGATTATCAGATTAATATGACACTTAGATATTTCCCATGGCTTGAAATATGAAGGCTTGAAAATTAACCCTGTCCTATCTTTGGCTTTTAAACAGGAACATTTATAGAAGGAAGCATAAAAATTGCAAGAAATGCAAGGCTAACCCCAAACTAATAGAATAAACATTCAGAATAACACTGCAAAATGAAAGAAAACTAAGCTTTAAAAAAAGTGAGGAAGAGATGAAATTGAACAGAGGTAAAAGTACAGTAGTGTCTTTCACTTGGGTTTTTAAGCAAGAATGTCCCATTTGATGCCCGAGGGTTGGATATGCCTATGTTACAATAAAAATATTTTAAAAGGAAGTTTTGTTATTTATATAAATTAACTATATTATGTATTTTATATACATCCCAAGAAAACAACTATTCACTCAGTGCAGCCAAGGTAAGCCAGTTGTGTCCCACCCATGGGCCACAGGTTGGACCCACCTGGATTAAAACACATGAGAAATATGTCCTGATTTCAGTTTGTGGATAAATGCTTGGAGGTTTACTTGCCATCAGCCTAGCTCATAATTGTTAGGGCTTCTAAAATATTAGCATGGTATTAGACTGAGTAATAGGTGTGCATTTTCAATATAAGGGAAGAAAAGTGGAGCTATCATTTATTGAGGATTTAGAAAGTACTCTGTACTGTTAATCCTGAAAGACATTTCCTCACCAAATTCTGATTATGGCCTTTTCATACGGGCATTATTGTTTCCACTTTATAGATGAAGAAAGAGGGTCAGAGAGTTTTCAGCAACTTGTCCAAGTCTATGCAGCTCATGAGTGATAAGAATGGGAATCAAACCCATGTTTGGATGCTTCCAGAGCCCTTGCTCTCAGCTCTTGGCAAAGTTCCAATGTATTCTGGACCAGTGAAATCTATATGGCTGTCATGCTCAGTTCTGACAGGTGCTAGGAGTATCCAAGAAGAGTGTAAAGGAAAACCTTAATGTTGTTACAACACTTGTGAAAATGGAAAAATTTGAGTTTTACTCCTCTCTCTGCCTTTCCCTAGCTTTGTAAGTTTTGACAAATTATTTAACCACCTAGAGGCCCAGATTCCTCATCTTCAAAAGATGATAGTACTGATGTGGCAATCTTCCTGAGGGCATCAAACGAGACAAGACATGATGACATGGTGCTCTCAGTGCTGGCTCCCTTCCTTTTCCATCTGGGTGTGGTTGGACCAGACAGCTTCCTAGAAAGGCAGGTCCAAACCTTTGATCAAACAAAGTTTCTAGGTTACCTATTGATTCAATTTATCCTTGCTATGCCTATTCTCATTAATATGAATAAACAACAAGGTCATAGTCCAGCCATTATGGAGCACGTTGTAGAAGTTACTCAAAAATTAAAAATGAAACTACCATATGATCCAGCAATCCCAATCCTGGGTATATTCAAAGAAAATAAAATAAGTATGTCAGAGACATCCCACATGCATTGTAGTACTATTCACAATAACCAAGAAATGGAATAAATCAAAGTTTTGATGAATAGATAAAGAAAATGTGGTACATACATACAATGGAACATTATGCCGTCATAAAAAGAATGAAATTCTGTCACTTGCCACAGCATGAACAAAACTAGAGTATGTTACATTAAGTAAAATAAGCCAGACACAGAAAGACAAATTCTGTATGAATTTACTAATTTGTTGAATCCACTAATCTGTTGAATCCAGAAAAGTTAATCTCATAGAACTTGAAGGTAGAATGGTAGTCACTAGAAGTCAGGGAGGCAGTAGTGGGTAGGAATGGGGTTTCAATTACATTTAGGAGCAAGAAGTGCTAGTGTGTTACTGCACAGTAAGTGACTTCAGATAGCAGAAATTAAAGCACATTTAAAAAGGCTAGAGGAAGATATATTGAAAGTGTTCATCACGTGAAAGTGACAAATGAGAAGATAAATATGTTTAACTTGATTTAAATAAATATTGAAATATCACATATCACCCCATTAATATGTACAATGCTTTTATGTAAAGACATAAATTTATTCTAAAGTAAATTGAATTTAAATTTTAAAAAGAAAAAATAGTTTAGTTCTTCCCAATCACCCTTGTCACTATCTGTGAACAGTAATAGCTGAAGAGATTTTAGCTGACACCGGCAAGATTTTTCTTCTATAGAGACTTATGTTTTAATGATATTAGGTCCAGATCAGTGGTTCTTCACCCTGGATGCACTTAGAATCATCTAGAGGGCTTAACAAAAATGCTTTGGCTTAAGCCCCACCCCAGAAAAATTGAATCTGAATCTCTGGGCAGCAGCCTTGGAACCAGTGTTTCTTAACAGCTCCCCTTGGGTGCTTATAATGAGGATCCGGGGTTAAAAACTGTGGTGCAGATGCATTTTAGATTCCTCTCAGTTATTCAATAATCTCCTCATGTAGCTTAATTCTCTGAGGACACACTGTCTCTGTGATGTTCAGCCCATTTATTTATTAGGCCTGGCTGTGTCAGTTTTTCATTATTGATTTTAATGTAGGAAATGAAATCCAAAAGGTTTTTTTTTCCTGCTAATTGACCAGAACTCTATGTTAAACCTTTCACTACTAGCAATGTGCATCTTTGCCAGCAATCTGCTCTAAGGAAGCTACGTGAAAATTAATGGCTTATGTGTGGGCTTCTGCCTCTACCGGCCTGCTCTTTCCCCTTCATTGTCCAGAGACCTGAGAAAGCTAAAAGCTTGTGGAAATGACCAGTCTATTTTGTGTGGTTATTTTTTTCTGATTATGACTGAGGAATTCCAGGTATGGGAATTGTCTCCCCTCAAAGCACCCAGGTATGTAGAGAAGCCTTCTCCTTCATGCTTGTGTAGGACAGAAGATAAGCAGGGGCCATCAGCCCTAACAACTATTCCCATTTGCATAGATTTCTGGGGATTTTTTTGGTCTGCTTCCAGGCAGGACTATGTCCTTGAAAACTGTCAGTTTTGATTGAAAAATTGGTGTACTCTGAGTGAGTAGATTAGGCATTATTATAGCTGTAGCTGACTTAGGTGCTGATGTAAATCATCTCAGCTACTCAAAATGACCATAAGTTAAGTGATAGTGGTGTCATAGCAGTTGATCAGTTACTCCCCCTTGGAATATTACACTTATTCTGAATGCTCAACGGGGTTTTGTGGTAGACACTGTGAAGAGAGGGGAACCTCCAACTCTATACTATTGGACACCATATGTAGGGTCACTTGAGGGTATTGAAATACACACACACACATATACACACACACACACATACACACACAGGCACAAACACTCAGTAAAGCTTGGCATATGCCCAGAAACAGAGAAGAGTGATTGGTAAGGAGTCTGCTTACCAATTAGGAAGCTGCTTGTGACTCTATTATTTATGATAATCACTTATTAATTTAAGTATGACCTTAAGCTCACTGACATTTTTTATAATTATTGAATCATGCTAGATCTCTGGTAAGAAATGTATGCTTGAAAGTCAGACATTCTACTGATTTTTAATCACTTTGTTAACCACAGGAAATTATTAATGGAATGGACTAATGCTAGCCAATTTAAACCAATAGGTATTTGTAGTTTATAGCTTGAGGCTGTATAAATTACATCCCTAAATTAGCAAATTTGTTAATATAGCTCTTTTCTTCTCTTTTTGAAAATATCACCTTTGTAATTGCATAGCTACTGACCACACAACACACTAACATATATTTCTATTGCCTAATTTGCTAATGTGTAGTTAATAGGATGGTTAACAGAACCTTAAGGTATCCTTGTTATAAGGCTGTTGGCTCTACAAGACCACAGAATTATAAAACTGAGACTTCCCATACACACCTAGCCTGGATTAGGTCCCCATGTTGTTTCTTTCTCAAAATATATCCATCACACTTGTCATTACCATTGGAGTCCATCTATATTGTCAGACTATAAGAACAAAGACTGTCTATTGTTCTCACCATTTTAGCCCTCATGCTTTGTATTATTCCTGCCACTCAGATGATGTTAAATTTTTTTAAAAAGTAAATAATGAAGAATTAATAATAACTCTGAATATACATGGTCTAGACTAAGTGGTGAAATTTTTCCTTTCCCTTCAACAATCAGGCTGAGAGCAACCACAAGCTTTATTGAGTTCATGGCCCCATCTAGCGGCTGATAGGAATTTATCTGGTCTTCCATGCTTTCCCTACCTGGCTATTCCTTGCTAAAGAGAGTATATTTTTGATCCTGAAGGATAGTTTCAGGACAGTTGTTTTCTTATCTTTTGCTTTTCTTTACTGCCATAACAATCCTTGTTCTCATTACTTGGCTTATTTACATAGCTTCCCTTCATTTTTCCTGCTCACTTCCCTTGCAAACCACCTTTAAATATCCTTTTCATTGTTTTCCTGTGCAGAAATGTTTCTTTCATATTGAATGTCACAATCCTTTAATAGTTTGTTAAGTCAATTTGGTAAGTCACTACAGGCCCTAAGAAGCCTTGAAAATTAAAAAATCAAATTATGTCATATGTAATTAGGGACATAATATTTCTTAAAACTTTTGCTTCAGACACACATACACACACCTTATCACATGTATGTGTATTGGATATATGGCCTCTGAAAACTGAAATTAATAGGATTAAATATCATGAGCCTGATACCAACAGCTTCCAACTAGTATCTTACAGTGAGAGAGAGCAAGACATGAGTTTCAATATGGTTTATTCTATACAGTGAGTTCAATTTCACTGAGCTTCCTATTTCTTAGGTGTACAATGGGGAACTGGTACTTAATTTGTGGGTATTTCTGTGAGAGTTAAATAAAATATAAAATGCCTAATCAAGCCAGGCATGGTGGCCCATGCCTGTAATCCCAGCTACTTAGAAGGTTGAGGGAGGCATGCCACAAGTTTGAGACCAGCTGGGGAAACTCAGCAAGACCCTATCTCAAAATTAAAAAACAGAAAGGGCTGGGAGGTAGCCCACTATAGAGTGCTCTTAGGTTCAATCCTCAGTACCAAAAAAAATCTATGAAAATTTGTGTACACATTATGTAACCAATAACTATTAATTTTCTGTTTTTTCAAACTCATTTCCTTTTATATTCTCATTTTGTGTTAAATTGCTTGATTTATTTTCTAAAAATAGCCTTTGAATTTTTGCACTTATACTGTTTATTTTACTCAATATCTCAACGTCTCTTCCTCATACATATTACTTTTCACTCTCAATTTACCTACCTCTTGTCTATTCTCCAAAACTCAGCCAAAGGCTTCCTTCACCTTGACCACTGCAGCACCCAGTGAGAGTCCAAGAAGCTCATTGGAATCAGTGACCATCTCTGTAGAGTTAATGTTTTGTTTACAGTGGGAACTTGGAAGCAACACACAGGTAAAAGGAGGAAAGGTTCCATGGCAGTGACACTATGAAGATGAAGGAAGCCTTCTCTCTTGACTTACTAATTGGTCAGTATCATGGAGTGTGTAACAATGTCCTTATGTTTTATCTCTCCCTGAAATGATCCATTATTTTACTTTCCTTTTCTTTCTCTAAAGGAAATGATTTTCATGCTTTTGCTTTGAGTATTAATGTGTGTGGTAAAGGTTAAAAGTCTACCAAAAGGAAAAGAAAAAGCAGCCTTTTCTCCCTAGAGTATAGTAATATATCTATCACCCATTTTTAGGATTCTTTTGATTATTCAGATGAACAAAATTGAATTTACTTTGCCTTTTCCAAAACATGGAAATTAATAGTAGTATTGATATGAATGTTAACTTCCTAGGCTGACCTTTATTGAGACATTCTTTCTGTTTCTAGTCACCAGCTGGCCATGGATGTGGAGAATAATATTGCAAAATATCCCCTTAATCTACAGCCCTTGGAATCAAAGGTGAAAATGTAAGTTCTCATTTTGTGAACTTCTGAACAAATCTGAATTTTTAAGTACAGAATTGTACATTTCTTTAGTTTATATTTATAAGCTGCACATTATTTCCTCCTTGTTTTAAGCAGCAACAAATCTGTCTTGGGCTTACAGAACCATCAACTGGATAATATCGGGAGTTTTTTGATTGCCGTTTCTTCTGCATGTCTTAGTTTTTCCTTTTTGGGCAAGTACAGTACGATTCTGCAGCTTCCACTGTCTTTCATCTTAGTAACTTGGTTAATTCTACCTCAGAACAATTTGGCTACTTCCACCTCATGCCATCTCTTTATTACACACACACACACACACACACTTTTTACATCCCTCTTCTGTCTTCTCATTTCCATTCCAATTCCAACTCTTGTCCAATTACTATGGGACAAAATGTCTAAGATAAGCCCAAACAAGGATTCTGAGCTAGCTAGTCTCCTGCTAGGAAGGTCTGTGCCACACTTACTAATCAGAATGAATCCAGCTATCAAATATCCATACGTATGTGTGTGTCAGCTTTACTACACAAGACATTAGTGTGCAAAAATAGGGGACTCTATCATCAGGAATTTTCTCATTAAGATAAGGTCTTGTTAAATAAAAAAGTTCTGGAAAAGAAAGTTGGCTATGAAAAATTAGTGTTCAATTTGAATGCTGAAATTAACTTAGGAGAACTTCTTGGTCTTTTTTTCACTTCCTTCATCTCCAGTATATAGAGGCAGAGGGACAGGTGCCAGCAGAAAGAGGAGGCAAAGAAAAACTCCTTTATTTCTGGTCAGCTCAGAGAATCTCGGGTTTTATGATTTTATGTTTGCTGGTTTGATGGAGGAGTCTCAGCTTAGTGAGGTACACATAAGTGGCTTTCATCTCGTCTAATAAATCTGCACCCCATTTCCACTCACTGGAGGGGAGGAGGGAGAGAAAACTTAATCTTGCCCAATAATGGAATTGTAGTCTCATCAGAGAATTTACTCTAGTTCAGTGACTTTTATCTAATCTGGTTGTTAAATTCTCAACTCCCTCAGCAGGTTGAACATTTCACCTCCACACACACACACACAAGGCCTTTCCTGTAGCCATTAGCCTGCCCCGCTCCTCTCCCTTCCTTTCCTCTCCCCTTCCCTTCCCTCTTCTCTCCTCTATGTGTTTGCCTTTCTTTCTTCCTTCCTCTGCTAGAGTCTACTCTCCCACTTCTCATGTGCTATACACCAAGACTGCCCAGGGCCTATCAATGGCAATACTTAGGCTTTTAGGCAGTTCCTTTTAAATGGCTCTAAGTCTTGTGACTCTAGAGGAAGAGGTCATTCAATTTCCCTGAAGCCCCAACCAATATAAGCTGGACCCCTCCATTGTTTGGGCTCTGTCCTATGACCCCCTAGTAGTACCTTTCCCTGGCAGAGTCTGGCATCCTCAGTAGGTGAGGCTACTCCCAACTATGCTTCCCTAGAGAAGTTCTTCAGAGTCACAGGACATTGAAATGAATGATGGGCCTTTGTCCCATGTCCCAAAGTCACTCTCCAATGTCACAGACTTTATTTTAGGACTTTCTGATATATGTTGGTGGATGCAGAGGAAAGTGAGGGTAACTAGACCATAAAATCTGTGCTCCTGAAGTCTCCTGTTCCTTCACTGATGAAGAGAGGACAGTGGGTTTCAGTGCAGGGCCTCACAGCCCAGGTCTTCAATCCCTGAGTAGGGATGGTGGGGACCTAGGTGGGCCCAGCTCTGAATGTAAAAGGTAAGGGAAGATAAGAACAGTTCTCAAGTGTGGGCTGTTGCATTGTAGCTGCATGAGTGGGAACCCCAGAATGGAGTGGGGTGGGCAGGAAAGGCTCTCAGTTCTTCATACTCACACAACATGAAAAAGACTTGATAAGAAAGTGTAAGCCTGTATGTGACAGTGAGAAATACCAGTATCAGAAAGGGCATGTTACCTGGCTCATGAATATGACTGTTAAGAAGAAATTTTGAGTTTTAGTCTTGGAGGATCAAAGGATTATGTCAAAAGGTCAAAAGTAATCAAGATTACACAGTTATTAAAGAAAAGGGATCGTGGAAAGGTAAAAGGCAGGCTATCTGAAAATCAGACAAAGTCAAACCACACAAGTTAGAAAGTGTAGTGAAAGCAAAACTAACAGTGAAAGCACCCAAATAAGGGCTCTTCACACAGCTCTGAGACTAAAGGGAAGTGTGTCCTTAAGAACCAAGGCTGAAGCAAGTTTGGGGATGAAGGTGCATGACATATGAGGGGGTGGGGTGCAGCTCGGGAGAAGGAGCAGTCACCAGTCCCATCAGGCCTCTGCCTTGCTTATGAGGGCCAGGATCTGCATGTTGTAGCAAGATCTCAAACACATCTTCACTATCCATCACTTAGACATCATCCATCACTGTGTGCAATCTTTTTCCTTATGTTTTAACAATATACTCATTTTGTGATGGAACAAGAGACATATACAGTAAGTCCTCAACTTATGAACATTCCAGTTGCAAACTTTCATGGATACGGACCTCACATTATGAACATCCACAGATTCGAACAAACTGAGAAAATAGCTCATGTATCTGGCAGACACTGTCACAGTTATACTTCTGTGTGTTTACTGTACAGTGTGATAGTGTACAATATTTGTGTGTGTGTTTGGTTTTTTAATGCTTCACATTGGTATATTTGTGACAAAGGTGTATAAGACTTACTTTGTCATACTTATGAACAATCTGACTTAGAGTATTCTCCCAGAATGGAACTTGTTCATAAGTCATGGACTTTCTATATTGAATACAAATCATCTTTTGAAAGTCTCTCATTAAACATTTCAATTCATTCCCTGATTTTTTTATTAATGTGTTTGATTTTGTGATAAAACAATACTTAGATTCTATAACAGAGAGAGAGACAGACTTTGGAGAAGGAAGACAATCCCTCAAACAATGTTGACCGTTCAGTATTTCTCAATGAAGCCTTGTTAAATTGCATCTGTTTGAACATAATGTGTATGTGCTTTACTAAAAAATTTAATTAGAAGAAGAGTAGTTGACAGCAGACTTTGAAATTTGAGGAATCTAGGTACAAATCCCAGCTCTGCTCATTACTGCATAACATTGAATATGCTGGCAAACTCTCGGGGCCTCAGTATCCCTCTGTAAAATGACATCAGTAACTGTGTCATAGGAGATTAAAGTGAGCCTTCAAGGAGAAAATTCAAGAAAAACATTTAGCCTAGTGACTTTTTTTCCACTTGAAAGTATCTTTTCCAAATACAGTATATTTTTATATCAACTTGGTCTAACAAAATAATACCATTAAGTATTCTCAAAAATCCAGAATATCATGTCAATGTATATGATTTTCACATATTAACTTAAACTACTTGGCGGTATTTGCTAAGTCTTTTTCTTAAGCAAGTATAATCATTTCTCTAGGACCTCTGTCAAGTTTGGAGCTAAGTGACTTCTATACATTCTCTTTGACTTCTTGCAAGAATTATAAAGAAATTACTGTTATTCTCATTTTATGGATAAGCAAAATGTAGGCCAGTGTGTTTCGCATTTTGCTTAAGGGTACAGCTAATGAGAATTAGAACCAAGCAAGAATCTCTATCACTTTAAACACATTTCCACATGAAGCAAAATTTTTCTTTAATCTATTTCTGAAACACAGTGTTAGAAGAATACATTTGCTAATCAGCTACTTACTATATTCCTCGCACTGTAGAAACAATGATACATACATGTGGGCACTGCCCTTGGGGCTTACAATCAGGAGGATGGGGTAGACTTGCTGGGAAAGAGTTGTATGGTCTGGCCTAATCTGATATTCTTCTTTTTGAGAGTTTAATATAATCTCATGAATGTTGTTATCTTTCTTGAACTCATTAACCTCATATGTGTCTTATTTCTGAAATATCTTCCCACTAAAGAAAAGAGTGTTAAATATCCAGGACCCAACTTGTCCAAATTTTCATCCGTGAGGGTGCTAGTGTTGGTAAAGAAATCTGCAGAAAGACCAGAAGAGCATACTCTGATGAGGAATTGGAAGTATGATCAATTAAAGTAGGGTGTGAAGAGTTCCAAACTTGGAAGACACTAAGGTAGATGAGTTGAAGGCAGGAGATGCTGTGGAAACCAGTAGCTCTTTACTGGCATTCACACAAGTTTGTATCAGGATACTGTGTGGGGGTAAACACCAAATAAATAAAACTTGACCTATCTATTAGGATAACTTTTAATTGCATATAGAGTATTCAACAAACAGGCTTAGATGGCTTAGATGAATAGGGGTTCCATTTATCCACTCAAAATCAGTATGTAATAAGCCAAACACATGGTCTTACTTTTTTATTTGTACCTTTTAAAACATTTTTTAATACATGTTTGGAATACTTAATGATTAAATTCACCATGGGAAGTTGGGTACATATACATAACACATCTTAATTCTTTTTTCATCCCTTTCTCCTCCCTACTTCTTCTCTCTTGGTCCTTTTCCCTTTTCCCTATCTCTCTGTTTCTTATTATCCATCTTTTATTTTGCTCTTTTTTTTGGTACTGGGGATTGAACTCTGGTCCTTGTGCTTATGCAGCAGACGGGGAAATCACTGAGCTAAATCTCCAGCCCCTTATTTTGCTCTTTAACTGATTTATATTTTGGGTTTCTCATATGAGAAAAATCATGTGATATTAAAGCTTTTGTGCTGGTCTATTTTACCTGACATTATGGTTTCAAAATGCATCTATTTTCCTACAAATGACTCAAATTTATCCCTTTTTATGTCAAATAGTACTCCATTGTGTATGAACACTACGTTTTCTTTATCCTTCATCTGTTTATGTACTTACTTAAATATACAGCTTCTTCCAAGATTTGGCTGTTATGAGTTGTGATGTTATAAACATGGGTGTGCAAGTATCTCTGCAATATGATGTCTTTAACTCTTTCTGGAAGATACCTAGAAGGGGAATAACTGAGTCAAATGGAATTTGTATTTTTAGTGTTTTGAGGAATCTCCATACTGATTTCCATAGTGGTTGTACTTATTTACATTTCTACTAACAATGTAGAAGTGTTCCCTTTTCCCTGAAGCCTTGGCAGCATTTGTCATTATTTGATTTTTCTTTCTGGAGTAAGATGGAATCTCAATGTTAAATAGTAAGGAAGAAACAAAATGTAATGGGGAGAGTGAAGATCTGGCCCAAGTGTTACGTCTAATGATTAGTTCCCTTCTTGTTCCCTGAAACTTGGTAAGGATTCCTGGTTGTGACAGAAACATAATTCAAACTAATTTACATATAAAAAGGACTATATTGGATCATCTAACAGAAACACCCATGGGCAAATGTTTTTCAAATACAGCTAGATTTAAGTGGTGAAGTAAGGTTATCAGGCATCTGTTTTTCTCATCATGTAAGCTCTGTTCTTTATAGAACTGCTTCACTATCACATGGACTCTCCCAGTATTGTGACAAAGTGCCACTGACAACTTTCATTTACATCCTACCTACTTAAACTCTTAAGGGGAAAGGGAGGACCTCTTTCTCAGAAGTCTCTGTAATAAGTCCCACAACAATCTTTCACTGGCCTAGCTTGAAGTATGTGCACTTTTGTATTGGTCAGCTTTCTATCATTGTAACAAAATACTCAAGACAATTAATTTTAAAGAGAAAACGATTATTTTAACTTACAGCTTTGGAGGTTCTATACATGATCAACTGGCCTTGTTGCTTGGGGCCTGTGTCAGGGCGGCACTTCATTCTGGACGTACATAGCAGAGCAGAACCACTTACATTACAAGCCAGGGAGTAAAGTGGAAGAGGAAAAGACTAGGGTACATAATCCCTTCAAGAACATGACCCCAGTGACTTAAGGACCTCCCATTAGGCCCTACCTCTTGAAGTCCCTTCCACCCTTGGACCAAACCTTCAACACATGGGCCTACAGAAGACATTTAGCATCTAAACTATAGCAGTATTCCTGAATCAATCACTGTTCTCTGGTTGGTCATCCCAGGCACATGGGCCACCCTCTGCAGTGGTGGGTAGGATCTGCCTCTTCCATAGCTCACAGACTGAAGGTGGTCTCCAAAGGAAAATTGGTGCCAAAGGAAGGAGAATGTAATATTGGGCAGAGAAAAACCTACCACTGCAGTAATAGTACCATTCTCACAACTCACTCATGGTAAAGAATGACCGGAAAGTTGGAGAGGAAAAAAAAGTTATGTGTATACTAAATATTGTTTTCCTAAATATTTAGATTTCATACTTGAGGGCCTCCTCCTTTTCTGGTCTTTCTTTCTTTCTTTCCTTCTTTCTTTTCTTTCTTTCTTTCTCTTTCTTTCTTTCCCTCTTTCTTTCTTTTTTTCTTTCCTTCTTTCTTTCTTTTTGGAGAAAAAGTCTTGCTATGTATCCCTGTCTGACCTCAAACTCATAGTAATCCTGCTGCCTCAGTCTCCTGAGTGCTGAGATTACAGAGTGCACCACCATGTACACATAACCATAATATCATGGCTCTACCATTAAAAAATGTAGTAATTTAGGGTTATAGCATAATATGATGCAAAGAACTTGTTATTTTAACCTCTGATACCCACTTAAAGACATCATCCAGCTTATTTATCAATCTTTAGCACTGTGATTATGAAGGACATATAATGCATGGGAAATATTTATTATATTAAATTAAGTTTAAAAAAGAATAAGATATATAATGTGCTTTCTATGAAGTAAAATTGTTTCCATATATATGAGCAATGTCTATAAGTTAAATATTAAAAAATAAAATACCTCTTGCATTATGAAAATCAGTGGGCATAGAAATGTTTTTAACATACATTTAAAAAGTATTAAATATTCTTATCAATATTCTCTTTTCTGCTAAATGAAAAAAATGTTGTTTTCTGAATCTCTGATTTAAGGAAAATTGTTATGTCACTTTCCAGATTCCATAAAATTAGGAGAGAAATGAGGATGTTTAAGAAAATTCTTTGAAAAACTTTTAACCTCAGGTTTGCTTAGCATTGCTTGGTTCTTTAAAGGTATAACACCGCCCCCTGCTGTTCAACAAGCTAAATGTAATACTACTACAAATGTCCACTGTGTGTTCCTTATTTTCTCGATAATTACGGTGATTCTTTTGTTTTTAAAAGAAAAAAGATGAGTAGAGTGCCTTGAAATTTTGAAAACATGCTTGTATTATATAGACTGTCAATATTCTCAAATTCTTAACTGTCTTTCAAATGTTACACCTTTTGAGACCTTGATGGACAAATTTACTGATTTAGATGCCCTCAAGGGGCAGAACTTTTTAGTTGGACAATAGGAGACCTCAAAAACTGCAGATAGTGTGGAATCACTAGTAACTTCCAAAAGTTTGCTACTTTTCAATAAAATAGGTCCTGGAAGAAACAATGACTCTACAAACTTTAGACAGGCACTCTTACATGATTCTCTTTGAGAGTCTGTTTAAATATTGAGAAAGAGAGAGAGGGAGAGGAAGAGACAGAGAGAAAGAGACAAAGAGACAGAGAGACAGAGACAAAGACACAGAGAGAGAGGCAGAGAGGAAGGAGAAGAGGAGGAGGAGGAAGAAAAGAGAAGAGAAGGGAAGAGAGATTGATTTTGACCAAGCATTGTATCATAAAACAGTGACCAAATATAATTCAGTTCAAAGCACGATGACAGCCTGCTTTAGTGGAGCTTGAAGTATATATATAATTTGGAGGACACTTAAAGTAATTTTACTTTTGCAATGCTATGCAAACCATTAAGAGCTATTCATAGGGTCTCAGAAGAGGCCCCAAGTAAAAACCTTAGGAGCTGAGGTTTCATAGCTTCAAGGAAGATAACCCTGACCCCAAGGCATGGTTTTCACTGCAGCTTCTGGGTTCTTCCTTGAGTACTATAATTCATGAAGCCTTAATTAATTGGGAGAAACCATACAGCCTTAATATGTGACAGCATTTTTGTGTTCTTTCTGTCCTCTGACTTTTGAGAATTGATGGTCTCTTAGTCATCCTAGCCAAATGAAAATATATCATTTGTTTATACAGAAATAGCTATAGTGACTTAGATTGTTTGTGGAAGAATTATATAATGGCATATATTTCCAAGAGTCTAGAAGAGATAGTGATGGAATTAATGTAACTGTTTCAAATTATTTTAAAAGGGCTGATCTTGACAGTTGGGCTACTTGTCCAACTAAGCCTTAGGAAAGGTTAGATTATGTTTAGTGACCATCTGTAAAGACCTAGTTGTCTATCTCAAGGGCTAAGAGCTAATCAATGGGGGAAAAGTCTCTTAGCTTTCACACACCGGAGGTTTCTATCAAAGTAGAAAAACACTTTTTCTGATACTAACCATAGGAAATAAAGCATTTCCTTGAATGGAATCTTACATATTCACCTAAAATATGTTACTTTAATTTTTTAATAGTATATAATATTTTCAGATTCTTTCTTTCTTATACATTGCCTATTTCCTCCCATAATATGTAAAACCTATGACTGCAGTGCTCTTGTCTGTCTTGTCCTGAGAACAGGGCCAGCAATGTGACCACACAGATTTCACTACACAATGTCATGAGCTCCACCTTTCACCTTGAGGTCTGTGCAAATAGCACCCCTTTGCTGTGTCTACCACAGAGCCCCTGACCAGAGCCTAGGGCTGACCCTGGTGCAGAGCGGACCCTTAACAATGATACTGACTGAATGAACATATGATAGTCAACCTGTTTATTATTCTCATTTGAAATATAAGATGAAAAATGGAAAGATTTTGTGCCTTGTAAAACAATGTACCTTTATGTGTGCAAACTGGTTTGATTTTGACGAATGACTTTTTCCAAGTTGGCTTATGCTGAGTTAGCCCAGTCAGGTCTGTGAAAATCAACCCAGGAAAACAAAGTGAAACTCAGTGGCCCAAATAGAGTTAGATCTCATGTCTTCAGATTTCCTGAGGCATGTTCTCTGTGTTACATTTTCTTTGTCTCGAGTGACCTGGGAGTGACAGAGTATGTGCTGGTTTTTTTCACAGCATTCAGCGAGCATGGCGTGAGTACCTGCAGCGGCATGATCCCCTGGAGAAGAGGAGCCCTTCCCCACCCTCTGTCTCCTCTGACAAGCTGAGCAGCTCCATGAGCATGAACACCTTTTCCGATAGCAGCACACCTGTGAGTGTCATGGTTCTACTTTCTTGGCCTGACTTGCTACCACTTCTCCATAGCCTGATCTCTGGCTCAAAGAGAGAAATCTTAGGATGTGAGCAGGTGGTTTGTGACTCTGAGGAACTATGTTACTCATTTGCTACATGGGAAGAGTTTTGTGACCTCAAAACAAAGAAAAACATATATAAATACAAGTAAACTTTATTAAGTTGGAAAAAATAGATTACATTTGAAATCAACCAAAATGTCTCACTTGTGAGTTCTCATTTCTTTATTACTAAAGTGAGGTTTTTGTTCGCTTTTTTTATAAAGGCATGTGTCTTTCAGTATGTGCCTCTGGTAGCATTGTGTTATGCTGATATGATAGAAGCTTAGCTTGGTTATTAGGATTAGAGCAAAAACTTTTACGGAATAATTAAAAACAGTCATGACTCAGTGGCCAGATAAACAACCCATGTGAGCTCAGTGTACCTGTGGCTAAATAGAGTGCATAGGTCCACCCCAAAGGGGCAGCCCATTCAGCCCTGGAAAGATGCTATGTGGGGATAGAGGGCGATGTTGCCAAAGACAATCCTTTCTCCAGAAAGAAATTCAGAGTTTTAAATGTTGGCAATTATTAAGAAAATTTAAAAATTAAACAATCCTGGCCTGCAGACCACAGTCTGTCAATTTAAGAACCTCTGCGTACAGGATTAAGGAATGAAGGAATCTCCTGAGTCTGTATTTAAAGAAAAACACCAAATGTTGGAGGAAGTCAATTATCAGGCACTTAGAAACTAGTTTTTTTGGATTTAGCCATTGTGGTAATTTATAACCAGTCCAGTCACCGAAATGCTGAAATGTTAGAAGGGAAATGAACTAATTATATAAAATGTATTTACATAAAATAATTATATAAAATATATTTATTTACGATTTTGATGTAATGTTTATTAAGTTGTAAGAAAAGTTTCTCAACTCTCAAAACAGTATATTCATATCAGGATCAAGCAATGGTTAATTTATGTGACCATGTTCAGATGACCTCATTGCATCTTCTTTAATAGTTTTATCTATATATGGATTCTTAACAAGAGGGACTAAGGTGAGTTTATAGCTGTGAAAATAAAAGTGGCAGATCTCTCTTTAACTGACAGCAAAATTGAATATTTAGTGAATCCTTACATTTGAAGACAGTTTCTTGGAAAAATGGTTTGTGTTCACTGACCTCATGGTCACTAGAGGGCGTATGTGAACAACATTGGAAAATGCCTGGGCTTCAAGTTTGTGTAGACCTTGGGCTTTTTTTTTTTTTTTTTTTTTAAATTTTATTTTATTGGTATAATTTAGGTGTACAACATAATGACATTCATCATTGGAAATTTGCACCTTTACATAATCTCTCTTGTTTCTTGTTTTTCCCCCTTCCCCTGCCCTCCCTTCAACCCCTCCATCCCTCCCTATTTACAAAGACTTTGTTTCCATTTTTTCATTTTCTCATATTAATTCCATTCCTGGGGATTTGTTAGTAAAATATTCAGTACAAGTTGAATGTTCAAGATGCTTTCCCTGTAAATGCTGATAGAAAGTGTAAATTAAATAACTTTGAAGATTTGATCTGAATGAGGGGAACTCAGTATTAGGAATCATTTCGTCTATATGGTAAAGATTTTAATTTACTCCTTTATATCTTTTCAGACTCCAATTCAGAACAGTTGCCAACTGTAGCTGAGTCCAATTATCTAGTAGTTTTAATGCTGTTTTAGGATGCTTAACCTTTTTGTTTTATTGAAATCCTAGAAGAAAATGTTCCTGTGTTATATTGACACTACTGTGCCACTTTGATGCTAGCACCTCAGGTGTTTTGTGCATAAATGCATGTTCTTTACCTCTCAGGGGTCATCATGTGTACTTATATCTCTGCATTCCTTTGTTAATAGTTCTACCTTCTTTAATTTAGTTGAGCTTCACAATCCCCTGATGCTTTTTAATAGCTATATTGCCTCCCTCAAATGTTCCTAGCAATTGGGTTTTTCATAAGGTGTATCAGACTAATGTGGGGAGACATACTGCTGTCTACTATTTCATCATCATTTAGCTCTGAGGTCATAGAGCAAAGATGGCTCTATAGTGTGTGGAAGTCTGGCTCACTCTTGATTGCCTACACACAGTAAGAGTCAAAGCAGATTTTCAAAAAGCATTATTGGAATCCACAATCAAAAACAACCAGGCCCTGTCTAGAATTCTGATAGAGGTTATTGATGATAATAATGACTTTAGTATTAGTGGTGTGACATTAAGTGTACAAAATATAAGATAAAAATATAAGATGTTGGGATGTTTCTTAGTCTCTAGTTTGTCTGGCAGGTAAAATATCCAAGACATAATTTTTTAAAATACTATGCTAATTGTTTGGAATTGATAGATCTAGCTAAGCTTTTTATTAATTTGTCATGATCATCACTTTGCCAAGGTTGCTTTCAGGAAGATTCAACCTTTCATCTTTTGGGGCTTGCAGCCCATTTGGGGAAAAAGTACCCAAAGAAAGGAAGATGATTCTGCTTTACCTTGATCAGACTGCTGGATCCCCTGGGCTCATAAGCTTTCTCAGGGATCCCTAGGTAGGAAGACTTGGTTTTACAGCCCACTAGTGAGTATCTCTCAAGTTTATGGAGGAATAAGATGACCTCAGGTATGTACTGACTAAGCGGGTCATACAGGCACAACCAGAAAGTTTGCTTGGAACTTTGGGGTTAAAAGTCATCAGTTCTTCAAAACATGATGTTGTGTGTAATAAAATCATACAATGTTGTTTGTTAATTTATAAAAAAATCTTTGTTTTAAGTCAAATGATATGTGTCAGTGAGGGGCTTCCTGTGGAGTTTTCCAGGCCCTGACTCCTGTTTGATGTCATCCAGCTTGTTAAACCTCAGCCTTCACTCTCTGGGTTTGAGCTATTGCTGTTTTGCTTAGACCATTGATAATCGTCTCAAATTTGACCAGCTGCCTGTTTTGTCTCAAATCCCTCCGTTCCTTTTATTAACCTCTAGTGCAGCCTCAACTGGAAGCCAACTGCCCTTGCCTAACTCCTGAGCCTTGCCAGCTGCTCCTCAACCCCCCATACCCATACCAACTGCAATTCCTTCCTGTCCTCGCTGTCTGCCCCAGGCATGCACCATATGGGAAACCAGATCCCTGATCTGACTGAATCCCTGTGCTGAGCTTAGAATGACACTTCTGCATGCTTCTGCTCTGATTGTTTTGGCTAAGCACAATGGTTAATATAGCTCTCAGAATATTTCTGCTTTAAAATATGGAGCAACAGTAATTTTTAAATATGAGCTCTCAAATTCATCATCTAAATAAGAGCTGAGCACTTGTTACGTGCCAGGCACTTTGCTAATACTTTTCTCGGATTATCTCGTTAATCCTCTCAATGATCATATGAAAGAGACACTATTATTATCTCCATTTTACAGATGATAAAAATGAGACATAAGGAGGTGACTAACTTGCCTCAGGTTGCACATTGGTCTGGAGCATGATGTTTTACTTTTCCTTTGTGCTGTACCACTTAATAATTAAACCCTGCATTTACGCAGGGTCAATCTGTAGGGGCAGCAATCAGTTAATACATTTTTAAGACTATTTTACAATTTGATAGCTATACACGGAGTAAAACAATTGAAAAACTCCATTTGATTTTATAAATTGCCTCATTCAGTGCTCTTTGATTAAAAATCTCATACCTCAGCTGTTCAATGGCAAATTAAAGAGCAACAGGAGGGAAGATGATATTAAGTTATGTTAGCAATTTGCATATTAAGTGCACTTATACCACAGTGTATTATGGGGTAACTGAAAATTTTATTTCAAAAGTAGGAATTTTGAATAACAATTGTTATAGTGGAATGGAAAATGTGGGTATCAAATTGAGAAGTAAAGAGTTAACTTTTTAGCCTTAAAATATTATTTATAGCACAGATGACAACAATGGAAATGCTTTATGTATTTTAATAGTCAATTTCACATGATAAAATACTTACACTTCTAGTTTTCAGTCTGAGAAATCTGTAATTTGCCTTATAGAATAAAATAGAAACTATGGGATATGTATTGTAAACTCTGAGACTGATAATCTTTTTGGAAAGCATTAGCATATATTCTTTCAGATAAAACCAGAAAATTATTTTAAATTGGTTGGAGACATTCTAGTCTCATTTAGTTTGAATTAGCTCCATGAGCCTACCTTGACGGTTATGCCCCTTCTTCCTATTGATTTCAGAATTGTTATGGCCAGGGCTGTAGGGGGCAGTGTGGTTCATGAACTAAAGTTCTGGCTTGGGGAAAGGACACTTAAAATAGCAGCCCTTCCTTTGTATGTTCAATATATTAGTCTTCTATCAGAAGAGTAGCTGGCAAAACCTTTTTTTTCCCATTCTATAGGCTGTCTCTCCACTTTGTTGTTTCCTTTTCTGTGCAGAAGCTTTTTAGTTTGATGTAGTCCCATTTGTTGATTCTTGATATTATTTCCAGTGCTATTGGAGTTCGTTCAGGAAGTTCTTGCATGTGCCTATGGCTTCAAATGTTTCCCTATGCTATCTTCTAATAGTTTCATAGTTTCTGGTTTTATATGTAGGTCTTTGATCCATTTTGATTTGATTTTAGTACAAGGTGAAAGATCTGGGTCTAGTTTCATTCTTCTGCACTCTAAACAGACTAGATGTCCATCACTAGATGAACTGATAAAGAAAATGTGGAATATATATACAATGAATTATTACTCAGCCAGAAAAGAGAATCAAATCATGTCATTTGCAGGAAAATACATGGAACTAGAGACCATATCATATATTAAGTGAAATAAGTTAGACACAGAAAGTGAAATATTACATGGTTTCTCTTATATGAAAAACTTAAAATACAAAAGACTCAAAGAATAAAGTAAAAGAAAAATGATAGTAAACAGGGAGGAAAACTTTTTGGACATGAGGAAAGGGATCAGGGGAAGGGCAGTGGGGTAAAGG